TTCGTACTTAGAACGAAAAAAAAAAGGAAAAACTCATGTCAAGTGGAGTGCAAAATAACATTAGAAGTTTCGCATATTTACTGCGAGTGAGTTTGAAGTGTATTGTGAAAATTGGATTCATCTTTTCCAAAAATGATTCAAACACTTGATAATAAGAAAACCATTCTAATTAACAGTGAAAACTGTAGCAGTGAAAACAGAATGGAAGGCTCAGCAAGGATATTTCAAGAAAAATGGTCGAAGCACAAATATGTAAATTTTTCAAACAAATGAGAAATTCCTCTTTGTCATCAACTTATAACGGAGATATGAAGCAACGTTTCGTCTCCAAAATATCAATAAAAAGGAAACGTATCATCAAATTTCTCTGTAATGTTAAAAGTTAATCAATATTCGAGATAAATACTTTTGCCATATTAAAAGAAAAATAAAATGCCAAATGACGATTGTGAAAAATATGAAATCCAGTCTGAAAAACTCTACAGTTAACAATGGAAGAAAATTTTCAAATATTCAGTGATGCCCTAGGCGAACATACAGGGCCAAAATGTGGTGCCGCAGTGGCTCATACAACACGTGCCTTACTGAATCCAAGGCCGGTATAGAGTCCAACCACGGTGAATCGTGCTAAAAAAGAGACTTCATTAGATTGGAACAAGGTTTAGAGAAGCAAGAAAAAACATTTTTAACTAGGTCATTAGTTATTCGAAAGAAATCTACTCGCTAGTAAAGGAAGCCAAAAAATGTCCGGCATTTGAATTTGGGTACATGGGTTGAATGTGGTCAGATTAAATAGATTGAGAGCTATTCAGAACTGCTTAGCTGCTTCTGCAGAAGATTAATGCTCAGCTGTGTCTCCCGTGTGATCGACCTACCAAGAGATATGTTGGCGGTCAGTGCAGATTGCAGTAAAACATACCTCAAATAAAGAGATAGCGACCGCAGTTAACAGAAGCCAAAACAACAGGAATGAGAAGAATATTTTGGCAGCAGATGCAGTAATCGAAGTGGTAGGATGCCTTACAATGGTTTCCAGTTCCTCCTCCTTCGTTAAAATTTGGGAGCTGGTAGGGTTATGATGTTTTATTTTATCGGGACTTCTATGTACATTAATACTGCATCCAACATCATCTATTTTCGTCGTCGTTATCGTTGTAAAGATCGTACAGGAATCAGGACTAGGATTTCCAGTAGGCGTGCTGGCGCATAACGGCTTTACTGCATCCAACATCTGTTCAAAAGAATCTTTAACTGGTGACTGCATTTCAGAATCAAAGGTTCCAAGCTGCAAATTACTATAATTTGAACAACGGCTTTCAGCAACAAATCAGTGGAAGCTGCTCAAGCACTTGTGTATTTGAGAATGATTTGCATAGATCACCAGAAAATTCACCGGTTTTTCCAACAAGCAGGTATCACATCATATTACAACAATACTAAAACCATCAAGAAGCTACTTGGAACACTTCTTGTGTCTTATATTGCAAGAACCAAGAATTTATGCGAACATTTCCTTATTCAGATATCTGCGAATATTATTTATTTTTGGGAACCATTTTACCCAGACAAATATGGTAATTATTTTAAAAATCAATGGTTTTAATCCGACAATAATGCTCCGTTCTTCCGGCACAAACTGCTTAATATTAAGAAATCATAAGATTTTGTAACGAACTATATTGAATTTATGATTAAATTTTGTCTAGGAAAAAAAGAACTAAAAATAATGAATGCATTAAGAATTTGCTGTTACTTTTCGGAAAATTTTGACAACTGTTTCTGTAGAAGCATGAAGAAAGGTGAGCAAATCTTAACCTGAAATCAGAAGTAAGACAAATTTTTGGCGAATGTAAAACTAAGAATTTCAATGCCATAAAAACAGAAGTCGCTCAATAGATCCCTCATAGTCTCTTCGATTTCATCTCAAAATGATGATCAAAGATCTTCTACATGGTAAGAATTTACCATTCAGATGTGCGTGAGCATGACTACAACGTCATAACCAAGAATGATTAGTCCAACGCCAACACAAACACAAGTTAGGTCACGATAAACACGAACTCGATGGTTAATGCACAAAGCAGTCTAGCAAAAACAAGCATTATCTGAGCCATAAAAGACAAATATCACGTGAGCATTTACTTTATCATACCGTCTGTGGAGATAATAGTTCCTTCCGCACAAGATGTATAGTAAATGTTGTCTGAAATGGAACAACCAAAATTCAAGTCTATAAGAGAAGTTTCCGAACTCAATTTTTTGTAACCTAAATTTTAGGTAGTTAATTGTTAATCACTTATTACTTTTAGCTAAGTTCGAACACGTGGACAGTTAAATCACTGCAATCTTCGGAACATTGCAAGTAGAAGGCAATTACACGGTCTTTCCCTAGCACCTGATTTAGCTGACGCTTCTATCCTATCCCAAAGAGCGCTAAAATACTTTTCAAAGCAAAATACTGAAATTAATGACCCTTCTTCAATCTCCTACTAACTTCATAAGTTTAAATCCCCCGGGGTGTTCAATCAGTTACACTAGAGAAACTTCTCCTTTCCCAACTAATTTTCACACGAAGTCCCAAATCTCTAAAAATAAGAATTAAAAAAGCATGTGAAAAAAAGGACTGAATTTGAAGTGAGTACAGACAGCTGTCTTCTGAAACTTTTAAGTGAAACACAGACTATTAGTTGCAAGAAATCCAAAAAACCCAAAGGAAATTTCAAGGATCCGAAAAATCCAAAGAAAATCTCAAAGATAATTACAGATGAAATGGTGAGAGCAAGGCATCTGTACGAACACATGACCGGAACCTTTTATTAAACTAATTAACAGCATGTTGATCGGAACTTAGCCTACCGTATTTTCGGAACCAGAGGAAGCAACTGTGGCTGAATTTTCGGCTACTGGAAATAAATCCACTTCACTCATCACAGCACTATGTGAAGCTATTTTTATTGCATTTTCTTCCTCTAGACATTCTGGTATCACTGAAAACTCTAAATATAAAATTAGTCCATAAAATATTTCTGCATTTCTACAAAAACTGCGTGAAAGTGACACGATTAGAGCAGTCAGAAAGTGTAGAACCATTTGTTTCTAATCATGGCCTGATTTAAAGCAGTAAAATTCATGTTCGAAAAAAAAGATTTAAAAAGTTTAGAAACGATCATGATGCCGTAAATGACTAACTTAAAATTCATATGATTATTACCAGAGTAACTATTATAAACAGCATGACGTGTGATTTGTTTAATAGACAATATCATCAGACGGTTCTCAATCTCAATCACGGAGTATGAGTTTCAAATATTATTTACCTTCGGAGGCTTTTTCACCATTGCGAACAACTGGAAGTGAGTTATACTTATTATCAGTACTGCAGACATATTGTCGCGGTGCTTGGCGAAGTAGTGGATATCTGATAAATTTTGGTTGAGGTCCATCGCGTTTACCAAACCCTTCCATTTCAATTTCGTGAAGGACTCTTGACATCGGAAAACGAAACGTTGAACCACGAGTCAGCAAGGGTATACGTGGCCTGTAGGTAGCATTTCAATTGATTTATCCATAATTTTCTCAAATAATTGCTAAATGTCCAATGCAGAAATGTCTATCTTAGACCAACCGCAAAGACCTGAAGAAAAGTTCAAAACTAACTTCGAAAACTTCGGTTTAATATGCTTAGCGTCATTTTCAGTAAAAAAAGCTTGCTGTGATAAAATATGACACCAAAGATGTTTCGCGAAAACTGCTGACGGACAGTGGAATTTCAGCACACTTGTCGTTTTATGAGGCTTGATAAATCCCTGAAAATGAAGAAAAAAACAATTTCTAATGAACCAACAAGAAAGTTCAATATTCAATTATTAAATCCGCATATTATGCCGTTATTTCACATCCCGGCAGAATAAAAATTTTTTTCCAATTTTTTTTCTTTTCTTTTCTAATTTTAAAACAAAAAATTCTAAACTAACATACATTTCTTATGCTGGAAGTAGATTTCAATGTGTTCGCTGTAAGCTGAAAAGAGTGAATTGAACTGTAGAGCAACGTGCTTTAGCTTTGGTAAAATTTATCGGACTTGAAATATATTCATCGTCAACTCTGTTTACTCTTTTTATAGACTTTTTTTTCTGCAAGTTTATCTTTTATTGCTTAAGAATTGAACCGAAATAAAACAATTTGTTGAGATAAGCCCTTACTATTCAAGAAAACTTTTACAAAACGTACTTCAGCATCCTCAATGGACGATGAGTAAGGCGAAACGTAAGATAACACCGGTGTTATCATGATTTCTTTCCCAAGATAATCTATTTTTTCTAGTTCATTCCTAGAAATGAATTATTGAATATAATTACCAAGACCCTTTTATTATTGGGTGCAGGGTCAATGCACCCCAGACAAAAGATGTGAGAAACTCAAACTAACAGACATGAAGTGACACTTCCATCTTACTGGTAGGCAAAAATTAGTATGCATCACTTTTTGACTTCCATTCAGAAGACAATTCAATAAACGGTTTTAATCGGGCCTATTTAAAAACATGAACAAAACACTGAACGAAATAACGTCATGTTACTTTAATAATTAAATTAAGTGAAAATTAATAGGAGCGCAAATTAGTAGTCAGCTCGATTTCCTTCCTATATTTTCTATAATCACGTAATTCATGTCTTCATAATCACGCAATCATAATAACCAGTATGATGGTCAGAGGCCAGTTTCTTGCTAAGGTAAAACAAACCATGTGATGTGATGGATCATTCGACTAATATGGTAAATGTAGATACCGCGATAGGTAACTCCGATGTACATTGTTTGTTTTTGCTTATTCTAAAAACAGCCTAATGCTTCAACAGAAAACAGTCATTGATGTAAGGTAATAAAAAGCGAAATCGAAAAACTCAGAAACTAAAAATTCGATCAAACAATTAATGAAATAACGACAATTCTGCTGAAACATTTACCACAACGATATATGGGTCAAATCCGTAAGTGTCTAGTCTGGATGCTCGTTTCAAAAATTCCATTTCTGCTTCCGCCGGAGTGAGCCCTCTGTATAAAGGAATTAGTCAGAAACAATATGAAAAAGAATCAACAATAAATGTGGGCCGATATGTAATACCCAGTTGAGAAAATTAGAATCCCCGTCTTGATTTAGATTTAAAAGCTTAAACTGTCAAAAAACAACTATTCGACCAGTAATTAAAAATGTAACATGACAACAAAAAAACCAACTTGAACAATTTGTGAGACTCAGCGATCTTTTCTTCAAGTTTTTCGGTTTGCTTTAAAACTAGCTTGTACTCAGCAACGTAGTTTTTTGGTCTCTCTTCTGCATCGTAATCACCGATTATGGCTAAAATTCGCAAAAATTAAAACTGACAAGGAAGGAGAAATGGAGACCCATCTAACTTGGTAAACAAGTGCTAAAATCATTGTATCTTATTGGAAAAGTAAAGAAAATATCAAATTAAAGGAAGAAACGAACACTGCAGAGCCAGCGCACCCAGTACAGCTGCTTCACTCTGGGGACAGTATAAACGTCCATGGAGGAGGTCTCTTTGCAACTGCACAAATAACATATACCTTTAGAGTAAGTATATATCATTATAAGATGCATAAAAAATCAATTTAAATTCATTTTGACCAGATTTCCGGCATCCTTAACATATAGACAGAAAGGACGCTAAAAATATGGCTCAAATTGAAACGAAAGAAGACAGCACTTAAATACTGCATTAGATTAAGATTCAAGAAAATGAAGCATATATTCTAATAACTACCTGAAAAAGTAAGCAAATCATAGGAGGTTATGAAATATGTTTTTTTTTCTTCAGATAAAGCCGTGTAAATAAAGCGAATAAACGATAAAACTGTTCATAGTTTAGAGCCTAAGAAGTAACCCAAATAATGGCAAACAAATCTATGAGAAACCAAATACAACTCTCATTAGAAATGTATAAAGGGATAATTTAGTGACTTACCGAGTCACCTCCTCCTTCAAGACACTCACATCGGATGGATAGAACCTTACGCGAAATCGCAAAGCCACATTAGGACCTTGAAAGTATTTGGATTAGATCTTATGAAATTTCAAATGCATTCAGCCCCATCATGATTTATTTCGTTATCCCTTTCAGTGTCTTCTCTCTGACCAACATAAATGTAAGCCAAAATGAAGGAAACAGGTTACCTCGTACTTGTTTATATATGTGTTTGTTGAGATCCATCCAGTACTGAAATAAATCATCATCTTATTTAATAAAAGTAATGCAAGAAACACTATTTGGAAACAAAAGGGGTCAAAAATCTGCAGAAATTCGAAAATTTCACCATTCTAGAACAGAAAATTTGCCGAGAAAATGTTTCAGGAGTTTAGTCAGTATGCAGAAGGGCATAACTGAAATTTCACGAGCGACAATTATATTAGAGTATGTCTAAACAACAACTGATGAGAGAGAACTGGCCCAACTTAAGTTTGACATACCCTGTGTCTACTAAAATCCTGATACCGGAGCCCAAAGTAATCCTTTTCAACAATATTCAAACATTCGCATACGTAGTCCAATATAATTTGGGCGTTCGATGTCTTCTGAAATAAAATTCCTGATATTTCCTTAATTACTTAATTATGACTTCATAGATTATCACACTGATAATTTTAGTGTCTAATTACCTGAATTTATTGTTTAACTTGGACTACTAAATTTATGAAAAGATTTTATTAAGATGCAGAAGATTTTATTAAAACGCAGATTTATATACAAGATTTTATTAAGATTCATAAGAAAATTAGATTCATAAGAAAATTTCATTAAGATATTTCTTTATTTACTGAATGCTTAAACAAAAAACTAGCTCCTTATTTCTTGGAAAAAATAAAAAGTTTAGTAATTCGCATATTTTAATTTAAAACAGCTTTTTCTACAAAGCATTGTCTAATTTAAATGCAAGCCAGTTCCTTCCCCATCACTTTATTTATTGAAACCAACATAAAATAATTTCTTTATTTACTGAATGCTTAAAAAGTTGACAATACAGAAGCTTGCAGGTAGAGCATGGTCCGTGCGTGCAAATCTAATAACAACAGTGGCTGTTTCAAAGTCTGTGCTCTTCTGCTGTCATATCATTGAAATGCGGCTACACATACAGCGCTTATCTTAGAAGTTGAAATTTAGTAACAATATGGGACTACCGATTTCAAAAGAATGTTTAATTTCGAGTCAGTAGAAGTACTGCTACCAAAATGTTAACTGAGAAGAAAGGGGACGAACCTTGAATTCTTGACAGATCGTTTCGTTATCATCTAATAATTGCACCGTAGTTTTGTAATCTCTGGTTGAGATAAGACTCGTACGGGCACTAATACGGCCTATAAATGATGTTGGTATCACGACAGTTTCATTCGCTGGCATCTTTCTCGCCATGCAGGTTTTGTTGGCTTGTCGGTACTTTCTTTCACAACCAATACAACAGGCAACTGGTAGTAACCTTGGTGACATGATTATAAGTTACTGCAGCGGTTAAGATCTAGCGAGCGATAACAGATGTCACTGATTTACTAGCAGAAAAGAAAATAGAATCACGTCATAATTGTTAAGAATTTGCCAATTTTTTGCACTTCGTACATGAGAAAGGGATAAATGAATTATGATTAGTTTAGTTTTGGAAGACGAAATGGTCGACAAGGAAAGTCGGTGGTAGGTAGACAACAATATAAGAATACTAGCAACAACAGCAGCGAGAGCGAGTACCAGCAACGGTATTGCTGAACATGAAAACAGGAATAATACGAAGAGAAAAACTGAGCATCGATTTGGTGTTAAGCAATAAAAGAGGCAAAACAGGAAAAGAGAGAAAAGATTACTTGCCGAAGTGCACATGGAAGCAAAAGGAAAAGTGTGAAACGAAAATTCTGATGTAATTCTCATAAAAATCATGCTCTTTAAATGCCTGGAAATATTAACTAACGAAATTACCAAACGAATAACAGCAACATTCAGCCAGGAATCTTAACGAAGAAAAAGTGTATCGCAAAAAGAAATGATAAAATTAATTTTGTCGACAATATTTTATCATTATTATTGTTATTATAATCGCATACAACACACGTACTAATTCCAGGAAATGAATTTACATTTAAAATCGAAACATTCCTGTGGCAATCCATTAAAGTTGCAATTGGTACATGCCAACTGCAGCTTTAAAATAAATTTTATTTAACAATAAAAGTATTTCGAAATATAGTTTTAAGGTATTTTGGGCATTATCATAAGGTAGTATTATATACTGCAAGACTAATAATACCATGATTAATGGACATTACATTACCGTCAACAGACACTGAACCAATGCAGGAGAGAACTAGTCTTTTGACTTGATCTGGGACAAACTGAAACTGTATCGCAATCAACAGCAACAAGTTCTTTCTAAGCGATGGATTTCAGAAAATCAGTAGTAGGAAGATATATTGGAAGGTTAGAAACGCAATATCAGTTTAGCATTGTACCAAGAAAACAACATTAGTTTGAAAAGTTCATAAAACTGAGAATTAAGAAAGAAAGAAGAAAAGAAATCAATTCTTCCGGCAGCAATGCTAACACCATTAACGCCGCAAGCTCTATGAAGAGCTCCCACCCAAGTAGCCATCCTTCCAGGCATTCCTACTGCCTCACAACTACGTCTCAGTGAGTGATGTGAACAAATATCCATGCTTTCATTCTCCTCCAAGTGCAGAACTCCTTCCGGACAACCTCTCTATCCCATTCACCTTTATCTGTGAATCTAATATCAACATCATTTCAACGCGTTACTCATTAATGCTTTAACGGTTTCGACAAAAAATAAATTCCGAAAATTACAAAAAAATCCGAAAAGAAAATTCGCATTCCAAAAGAATTGTTTTTGGTAAATTTAACAAGCCAAAAACTTTCAGTACAGTTGTAGCACTAGTGATAGAGAAATAATGAGGAGAGCTGCCGCAGCAAGTCTTAGTTTTTATTGGCAAGGATCCAATACAAACTCAGAAATTCTCGCGAACTATGCAAAAATTACACTTCCTATTATAATCATATCATTATTGCCACCAACATTAACATAGTTATCAATGTCATTTGAGAAACACCTTATCAGTACTCCCAGCACATTTTGGTCAAATCATTTTTACTGTTATATAGTTGAATCAAAAGACAAAACTCTGTCATCGTTTGAAATCTGCTTCAATCTCTTAGCACATGTTCTTGTAAAGATGTTGGAAATGAAAACCAAAACAACATTAGTTTCCAGAGAATCGCTTATATTCAGGCGAGCAGCCCATCCGCCAATTTGGCAGACAGTGGAGGCTGCCCTGATTGACTGTATATATATATATATATATATATGTCTGGATCAGTTTCCTTTACCACCTTTGATTTTAATTCCATTTCTGCACTTTGTTTTCTCAATATATAATTATATGTTGGCCAGATTCTTTCTCCTAGTTGTTTATATAAA